CCAGCACGGCAGCAGCGCCCGCAAAACGAAACGCCGATCCAGCACCAGCACCAGCACGGCAAAGCGGCGGAAGCTTACATATGCGTGGCTGCTGTCACGTCTCGACGACTTGAGCGTCAGCATTGACGAGAAGAAGGCTGTGGCAGCAACATTGATGAAGGTTCCCGATGATGTCCTGAGCAAAGACTCCCGGGAAGGGTTGTCGTCGTATTTGCAGAAGATAATTGAAGATGACACAATACGGTCGATAGTGGTTGGAACGCTGCACAGCCGGATTCAAGATTTCATCCCCCAAGCACCTACCCTTTAACTGGCAAGTTTTTGTTCTATGGCAGCAGGCCTTGCAATCTTTCCCGTTTTGCTCATAGACTTTCCCGATAGGCTTAGTTGATTACCTTACTTATTGGGTTTAGGGGTTGGCTCTTTGGTTGTAGCGTAGTGGTTTATCCCGCCTAGGTTTGGTTTCCTCGTAGGGTTACCCGATAGGGTTAGTTGATTGGGTTGCTTAGTCGGGTTTAGGGGGTTGGGTGTTTTTTTGTTTTAGTCCTAGGCTGGTGGGTTGAGTTTAGTTGTTGGGTTGGGGGGCCGAGTTCATGGCACACGAGGCTGAATCCTTTCAGGATGAAGATTCACTTTGCCAGTGGATGGAGGAGGCACTTGGACAGAAACCCAAATCCTGGGAGGCCAACTCTGTATACAGCTTCAACGCAGACATTCTGGGCGATGGCTACATGCAAAAGGGCCTCGTTTTGCGCGCTTGCTATGTGCAGATATGTGCAATACTCACAAAGTGGTTGGGAAAAAAGTTTGAATTGGAAACTCCGCGAGGGTTGTTTGTCATTACTGGCACTCCAGGCATGGGCAAATCAGTGCTGTTGGGCTATATAGCTGTGTACTTGGCCGATGAGTATGATCTCGTCATTCGCAGGAACTACACATGGTATTCACGCCAAGCCGGACCAAATCAGAAGACTGTCAAACACAAGGAAGAGCCGCAGATGCTGCAGAAGTCCTCGACCGTCCTGCTGATAGATCCCGTTGGCGGCAAGACCACAGATGATGTGAAGCATCGAGCACGAGGATGCACGATTGTGTTCATCTCTTTGCGCATGAAGCCCTACCACAGCGCCTTCAGTCAGTCTGCAGAACATGCGACGCGCCTGTACCAGCCAATCTGGTCGAAAAGCGAACTTGAGAAGCACCACTCGACTCTGTTCAAAGGTCAGAGTCAGGAAGATGTGCAGAATGCCCATGATCTTCTTGGTGGAAGTGTGCGATGGTTGAGGCGCTTTTTCAAGCTTGTAGGAGAGGGCAAGAAGCCAGATGAAGCCGCCCGAGAGCTGATACGTGAGTGCATCCATGACTTGGACACTTTCGAATCGTTGGAGAAGTTGGTGCGACAGGCTGTTCCCAGTGGCAAGGCAGACACGAAGGAGAGCCTGGCAAGTGCTTTACTGCAAATTGATGCAAACCATTCTGACACGTTCAGCATACCCAGTGTGCAACTTATTGATTCGGAGGCTGCCAGGGAAGAAATCTGCAACAAACTCCAGATCACAAGTGCAGAACACCAACGCTGTTTCGTCGACAAGTTTCTTCACATGAAGGAGCTAAGCATCTTGGTTGGAAATGTCTTTCAGCGCCTGGTGATGGGGCGCTTGACAACGGATGTTGAGAAAGCATTGAAGCTTCAATGCAGACCGCTAGCTTCGACTAAGGGGGAGAAGGGAGTGGAGTGTGAGGTTCCAAACCACAGGTTGATGATGCAGACGAAAGGTGCGTCGCCGCTTGGCAAGCTGCAACTGAGTACAAATCAGTTGTATATCCCGATCTCGAAGACTTTCCCAGCAGCAGATGCTTTTTTTGCCACTGCGGAGAAGACGTCTGCACCAATTACATACAGACTTTGGTTGTTGCAGGTGACAAAGAACGAAAAAGAGCACAAGTGCAAAATTGGGCCGATGCATAATTTCATAAAGAATGCTTTCCTGCAACTGGACATGGTTTCAGATATCAGCTGGGTCATCATTGCGCCGAAAGGAATTGCGTCCAATTACAGCGTCATGCAGAATGTGGAAGGTGAGTGGATCGAGGGCACATCTCCTGTGGGCGTAAGCCAATACGTCGTCGACTGGGACACAAAGCCCTAGTTGCTACGCTTCCTGTGAAAAGTGATCGGGAACTGCTTGCAATCCTGAACCGCCTAAACCCCTCGCCTTTTAGGCGTATGGCACCTAGATAGAAGTAAGTATTATTCCTAGGATGGTAACTTGGGATCTTGCGGTGGATTATCCTAGTATTATTGGGGCTGAGATCTTAAGATAGATGTTATCCTAGGGTGGGGGTGGAGGGTAGCATTTTCTATGAGGTGGGCTTTGCTTATTTTCGGGTGGTGAGATCAGGCTGTGGATCAATGGTGGTTGTTGGGGGGCACGTGGGCTGGTTTTGATGGAAAATGTCGTGGAACAGGGCTTTTGAACTATCTGCACCGCCCCAGGTCGAATCTGTACATCGGCACGAACCAGCCTTGGAATCTCCAAACTGGCCTGTTCCAGGACGGAGTAGCAGCAGTGATAAGAGGAAGAAGAATCGCCACAGCAGCAAGAACAGCAACGGCAGCGGGTCGTAGTAGTAGCATTGTAGTAGCAGTTGTCGTCATCATCATTCGTTGTCAGTAGTAGTCGCAGCAATATCAGCAGTAGCAGCGGCATTAAGAGCAGAAGCAGCAGTAGCAGTAGCAGCTGCAGTAGGAGCAACAGTAGCAGCCTGAGTAGCAGCTTGAGTAGCAGTGGAAACAGCAGTAGCAGCAAAAACAGCATTGGCGCGTGCTGTAGGAGGAGTAGTGGTAGCAGTCATAGTCGTAAAAGCAGTTGTGGTTACGACCACCATGCTTATGACAGAAGCCTGGAAGTAATATCCACCTATATGTTCAAAGTACACATGGCGTATCAGAATTACTGGCCGCCAAATTGATCAGAAAACATGTTAGACAGGCTAGTGAATAGTAATATCATTCGTAGTACAAATATGGCAGCGAATCATAGTAATTTCAAAACGTATTGATGGCAACACTATCAACGACAGCAGTGGTAGATGGCAATGGCAGGAAGATGGTAATGTCATTAGCAACAGGAAGGCAACATCAGAAAGATCAGCATCCGCAAAAGCAATGGTACTTGAGATAGACGTTGTAGGAGCAGTAGCTCAAGCACTCATCGTAGTCGTAGTAATCACAGCATTCATAGTACAAGAAGTAGTAGAAGTAGAAGTAGAAGTACAACCTCGAGTTCTCTTGAACCAGACTCTGGACCATGGCCTTGACGGCGTCCGGAATGTCTCTCTGAGGACTCACCGATGTCACGGCCTGCTGGTAGACCTGTGGTGGAGGATCGTCGGCCGAGCTAGGCAGGTGAGCCGGCCTGCGTGCTCTCAAGATCGCTTCTTCCCTGGCGGATTCGCTCCAGAAAGGGTTGATGGCTGGCCCCAAAGTCGTGGGAGGACCAACCGGCCTAGCCAACGCACCATGCTCCGGCCTAATGTCCTCTAAGGCCTTCTGTGAGCTATCGGGCGTCTTCTCCGAATCCACCGACATGGCGAACAAACCACGGAGCTAGGAGCGAAAATTTGGGCTCATAACCCACCAAGCATCAAATCGCTCTTGATTTTCTCGATCGCAAAAAAGGGCTTCAAAGGTACACACTTCAAGGCATGTCCTTCACAACTTCACTTCTATACACAACGATCGAGGGTTTTGGCTATTATAATGATAGATTCCTTGAAAAACGCAGCTTCCATACTACGCTGCATTTTACACATGATCCCACGGCAGCACGCACACAGAACAGCAGATGACCACTATCACTCGTGGAATTTGTCAATCTCCCAAACAGTTTATCCGAAGGTCCCCTTCCAGAGAGGCTTGACGACCGAAAAAATGACACAGAAGGTTTCAGACCATAATGTTGGCTATGCATGTTTCGATCCAAAGCCGAGTCCAGAGAGCTGGGCAATTGGGATACGACTAGGTCGGCGCAACAGTCTTCACAGTCTATAGTAATTTGTGCACATGTACTGGATGAGTTTTATGGAGATGCATCACGAGTTGCTTGGTATAAGGAATCCGCTACGGCATTGCTTTTTGATGCACCTCCATGAACCCATGCTCCAGATGCTCGGATGTTTGAAAAGGCGCCAGAATGCGATTTTCTTCAGTGCAATGACAAGCTTCAAAGGCGCAAAGAATTCTGCTTCCCCAGGACGACAGTAGCGACATGTGATTCTGCAACCATGTGAAGGCACAGGACTGCTGAGAAGCACATGATCTTGTCCTTGAGACAATATTTGAGCGGTGAAAAAGCGAGTGCGGATTGCGGATCACATTGATTTTCAGAAACCGTTGTTGGACCCAGACAGCCTTGTTTTGAATGTGCACGGCAAGATCAACACACGGCAGGTGAGAAGAAAGAAATCAAGGCTGGCGATGATGAGGTCAAGGTGGGTGTGCTGCTATTACTGAAAGACAAGTATGTTTGGTTGCTCAACAAAAAAGGAGAATGCTGTTCTGTGATAGGCCTTCCGTGCGTCTCTCTCCAAGCTTGGCGGGGCGCCTTACGACGACACTTTGTAGTGAAAAACCACAAACCACAAACTTATAAACCACTTGTAGTCACTTGTAGTTTTGAGAAACATTGGAGTCAGTTTCTCAAAACCGAACCGGGTTTCTTCATGCGAAGGGTTCAGGTTCTTCAAGGATGCTCCCAACAACCCGCCCTCTTGCGTCGTCCCCATTCGTTTCTTGCTACAGCAACTGACATTCCTTACCTTTACTCTCTATCTTATAATATAAAAACAAAATCTATTATATATATACATATAATATAGTTTCATTGTTCTTTTCTGCACCTTGTTGCAAGCTGCCCACACCCCCATAAAAATCACTGGTAACATTCAGCGCTCTTGTCCACTTTGGCCGCAGCACTCTTGTCGACTTTCTGGAGCGTAGAAGTCCTGTCTTGGCGATGATGCGCGCAGCAGCCTGACGCCTAACAGACAATACTTCTGTTTCAGCAGCCTTTAAGCAGCCTGAGTGACCTTGAGCAGTTGTTCAGTTTGCTCTTTGAGACATTGCAAAGGATTTCATTGAATCCCGAGGTTCTGTCCTTGCTGGCCACAGCAGGCATTGGAGCGGTTGCCTTTGTCGGCCCAGCAAACACTGTTGAGCCAAAGACTCGTGTGGCTCTCCGCGCAAGCATGAAGCCGCTCCCAGAGAGCCAGGCGTGACCAAAAGGATCACAGCATTTTTTTGTAGTCTAAGCATTGCTGCGGCGCTGCATTCATGTTTTAGCTCGGTCCTATTTACTGTAAGTTCAACTGAGTTCACCTGGTTTTGTTTTCAAATAGCTTTTTGCCAGTGGATTTTGTGGTTCCCAACGTCGCTGTGCAGCTGTGCATACCATGGGAAGTTGCTTGATACAGAAATTCATTAAAGCCTTTGAACTGCTTCGACCCGAGCCGCTGTGCGTGCTTGCATGCCGTGACGTCCTTTTACTTGCTAAATTCATGTTTTTACATTACACCAACTACTACCACTATCACTATCACTACGACGACGAGGACGACGACGACGACGACGACTACTACTACTACTACTACTACTACTACTACCACTACTGTTACCCACCACTACTGCTACTACCACTACTGTTACCCACCACTACTGCTACTACTAACACTGCTACTACTACTACTACCACCACCACTACTACTACTACCACCACTACTATTTCTGGTTCTAAGAGAGAGAGAGAGAGAGAGAGAGAGAGAGAGAGAGAGAAAGAACACAAAACGAAAAAAAGCAGCCATTTTGGCTCAAGATTTGGGCTCAAGCTGGGATCGTGGAGCCTGGGCACCACGTTAGACCCTTTGCGGAGCCAAAGATCTTGGTGATCCCTTCTTCAAGGACTTCAAGAAGGTCACGTACATCTTTGCCCGTGATTGAGACGGAAGAGTCCTTTGTTCTTGAGGAGGAAGATGGTGTCACCTTCATGGGAGGGGTGGTCATACCCCAAGAGGCGCAGGCCCCGGACCTATGTCTGCTGCCAAGGCTGCACAGCCTCATGGATCTGGGCTGACAGAATCAATGATGAGAGGTGGAAATGTGACAAATGCAGCAAGGCATGGCCACAAATGGCCTGGCGACAGGAGACGGCTCATGTATCCCAAAGTCGAGCTCGACCGCGCCGTGACAGAACGGTCCTCCTGGAAAAGCCGCCAGGATTGGGGCGCCGGCCGCGCTCCTCCGGAGTGGAGAAGGCCCTTCAGAAAGAATGGACAAGCTTGAGCAAAGAGGTCCAGGATGCCCTGAAGGCTGTGGGTATAGATTGCGCCCCTGAACCAGAGCTCCAGCCCCTTGAAGAGATCTTGAAGACTCACATTGAAGCACTTCCCAAAGAGGTCAAAGATGCGGTTGAGACCCTGATTGCGCCAGCGAAGCAGGAACCCAAGGACGTCACGACGCAATTGAAGACCACCGTTGGGGAGCTGAGACAATTGTCCAACAAGAAGGCGGGGCTCCAGAAAAGGGTGGACAATGCAAAGGAGCAGTACAAGACACTCCTGGATGAGTTGAAGGTGGTTCAGGAGATGATCGACAAGGAACAGCAACAGCTGACAGCCCAATCAGCAGCTTATGCCAAGCTGTTGAAAGAAGAAACCAAAGAGGAGGAAGCCCCAGAGTCATTGGTGGATGCAGACGTCAATGATCACGTCATGAAGGCCATGGCTCAAGTGGGCATTTTGTTCACCGACTCTCAGAAGACTGAGCTAGAGCGGCAATTGGCAGAGAACATGCTAAAGCGCCGCAAGAAAGGTGACACTCAGTTGTCGGGGTAACCCTGCCAAGTGGCAGGGGCCAATCCATGCTGATGGGGAGAAAAGCAGCAGCCTTGGGCAGCTTTCAGATTTGGGGTCGGAGCTGTCAAGGTTACCTGCAGAGGCAATGCATGGGAAATACAAGGGGTTTTCACAGTCAAACGAAAGGGAGTGTTTGAATGTGTGGTTTCTGCAAAGCAGCATGCCCTCGTGTGGGGTTTCTTCAGAGCATGCATGCAGCAGTTGTGAGCGCAGCAATCATGTTTTGCACAGAGACGTTCTGCATGATTTGGATCAATCTTCAGGCTGGCATCCGTATGTTGGTCATGAGTGGTATTTTGACACACCTTTCAATGCATTTGAAGCGCAGAATTGGCATTACATTGAATATGGTGTTGATACAGACAATGCACAAGCTTTTTCCCTGCACAGTGGCTCTTTCACCGGCATGGAAGCTGCGCATGGAGAAGCGGCTCACGGAAGGGCTGCTGACAAGCTTGAATTGCAAGAGGTGAATGATGCTTCACCTCATCCGAAGGATAGCTCCCTTGGCAACACCTCTGATCCAGGGAAATTGGAGGATAGCATGCCAGGGACGCCGACGGCAGAGTGCATGGACAATAAAAGCAACTGGAGCCACGAGGAAAGCTGGGCACCGGGCTGGACGAGCTCTGAGCGGCTAGGTACGCCTAGACCTGCTTCATCCGGGACCTGGCCAACCCTCAAAGGCCCAGACAGCAAGGAACAATGCGCCCTCCTAGGCGGGGGCAAGAGAGGAGCTTCGCCTACCTCTATCTGGGAGGATGAACAAAGCCCTCCTGAACAGACTACACCTGGACACTTGCAAGACAGGTTGATGGTGCTTCAACAAAAAGCCGCTGAAGCAATCCAAGCATTACCAGCTCAGCGCAGAGATGACAATGCCTTCGGTCAAGTGGAGACCAGAATCTGGGGGCTTGAGGCCCTGAAGCATGTTCGCAAGATGAGAATGGCTTTGCAAGACAGCCTGCCGCTGACGAGGCCGGTCTTCCATGAACCGGAGGCCCCTCCAGCAAATGAACTGATGGCAGCCAACTTGACCTTGAACATTGGCAACCGGGGCAACCGGTGCTACGCCAACACTGTTCTCAGGTTATGGTGTTGGATGGGAGCGCATCATCAGAATCCCAAGGAGTTTTGGGGCCCTTCAACCAAGCTTTGTTTACAAATGCTGCAACAAGATGTCATTGAAGATATCTTCTGGGCTTCCGAACTTCAACCAGCCATTGCAAGGCTGGAGAATCCGCAAAATCAGCATGATGCATCTGAATTTCTGGTGCATTTATGGGAGCTGTGGGGCCAAACAGGTTTGCAAGGCAATTGGCATGCCCATTTCGGCGGTCGTGACCATGAGTTTGACACGATCCCGCTGTTTGTACGAATGCCGGTAGAAGCTGGCGATGGTGCAAACTTTGAGCAGATTCTAGCTGACTGGGCAAATGAAGGAAATGGACAATGCCTTGCCAACAATGTCGAGCGCATTGTGTTTCATGTTGGCAGGTACTACTGGACACCCACTACCAAAGAATGGGTCAAGCACCATAATCGATTGCGTACGCCAACCAGCTTCCAAGTTCCCCAGAAGACTTTGACTGGACATGCGGGGCACGCCACCTTTGTGTTGAGGGGCATAATAGCCCATCAAGGAGAACACCTCATGTCTGGCAACTACATTGCCATGCTGGTTGATGGGGAAGCCATGTGGTTGGTTGATGATGGAGAATGTCCCCAAGTGCAAAAGACCGTGCCAGACAGCATCCAGCGAGGAGCAGTCATGATTTGGGCATCAAGAGCTGAACAAAACTCCTTCTGGACGCAAAGGATTGGCAGTTTTGAGCCACCAGCCAAACGGCAAAGAACCTATGCCGGTAACATTGAGGTCTTCTATGGCAATGTCACCCAGTGGAACAAAGAAGTCAAAGAGTGGCTGAATCAACAAGACATACAAATTGCTATGCTGGTTGAAACTCATGTTGTGGGAAAAAAGCTGGAGGCGGCAGCCAGTGAGATGGCAAGAAGCAGATGGCGCATGGAGCAGCTGGATGCACATGAAACGGGGCGTGGTGGAACCAGTGGAGGTCAATTTTTCTGTGCCCGTGAAGGACAGGCCACCTACAGAATCGACCAGTTTGACCAGGATGGCAATGGTTTCCTTGCCAATGTCCTTCAGAGGCAAAAATGGGAGGTCGTTCTCGTATCGATCTACCTCAAGTGTGGGGAAGATCTGAACTCCGCGACAAATGCCAAAATCCTGGGGGAGTTGGCTGCTTTCCTGGGTGAACTAGCAGTTCCCTGGCTGGTCATTGGAGACTTCCAAGTCCCACCAGAGCAATGGCAGGGACATCAGCTGCTGAATGTCTTGAAAGCAGAGGTGATCCATACAGGGCAGCCGACCTTGATCACAGGGGGAGAAATCGATTATGTACTTGCCAGCCGAACTGTCTCTCCTTTTGTGGACATCAAGCTGAACTGGGATGTTCCTTGGCGGCCACATGCGGGCTTGGTGGTGACCATTGACAGCACGGCCCCTAGCCTGCACCTACCGCAAGTCACTCAGTATGCAGCAGTCCCAAAGCTGCAGAGCAGCTCGAAGCAATGGGAGGATTTTGACACTGTCACAAAGCCATATTGGCTTGGGCGCACAATTGGCCCAAAAGAGACGCGTTGTGCAGAATGGTGTCACCGGGCT